GTACTTTCAGATTTGGAATTAATGCAATCACAAAAAGCTTCAATATCTCCATGTTGATTCTCTTGCTCCTTCTCTGCCCCTTTTCTTATGTGTGACAAGCAGAAAAAAACAATACACATTTAATCTTAATTTAAGTCTTTTGAATGGGGGGATGAAGGTTGCGGCAGTGGCCGTGAGGAAGCATGTAAGGAAAGAGACAGTGGTCGGTTAGGAGGGAGAGAAAGGAGATGTTCCATAGGGACGCCTCTGGATAGTGTTTTAGCATTTGAAGTGTTGAGCGTGCTGAAGATCAAGGCGGTCCGAGAGTGAGCTAAGCCTGACAAATATCACGTGGCACAGCACCGTTATCCACCTCACCTGATTTTTAACGCCGTTTGTTTTGGAGGACCAAAAATTATGATTTCCTTAAGGAGAGGGACTAAATCGTACAAAGTTTGAAATAGGGACGAAAAATAAAATCGCTTGATAGTTAAGGGACTAAAAACATATTTAACCCTTAGATATTTCAATTGATATATTTAAATAATTATCTTATTTAATCATATCATAGAACATCAAAAGATAATAATTGTCAAATCTTTTTGGATCTAACAAGATCTTCTTAAATATTTTTAAATCTCCATAACAACCAAATATATCTCAACGACATTAGATTTATTTAAAAGATAATTAGAAGAGGTTACATTATCAAAAAGAGTATTAGAGCAATAGAAAAGCCCAAAAGAAAGATCAATCCAATTTCTATATAAAAAGACTTAGAAAAACACATCAGAAGAGGTTTAAAACCCTTTTGGGGACCTTATTTCATTGTCTCCACCATGGAGTGGTAAGCTTTTAGGGTTAATTCTATTGTAATTTCTTAACTAGATTCTAATGTTATAAGAAATAAATTTGTTGTTCTTTTGATTATGATATGATTTATGTTTATATATGCCTTTTTATTTCCAAATCAAGTAAACATAATGATTTTTATATTGTAGGTAGTTAGCACAATATTTAATCTACATGCATATTAATCATATGATTCAAGAGGTTTTTAATTGTAATTGAGACTATACGTTGATTAAAGTTAGAAACTTGTATATGACTGAATGTGTTTTTACCAATAATTGAGACTATGCTTTGATTAAAGATAAAAAAATTAACAAGAGTTAAGCAAAATTCTATTTCTGTTAATTAGCTTTTTACTTCATAAAGAGATAAAAGAATATACATGATTAGACATAGAAAATTTGGATTGAGATTGTATTTTGGTTGAATTTAATATGAATAGTCTAAAAAGTTATCCCTTTTAATTGAGATTGTACTTTGATTAATAGTGAGAATGCCAACAAATTAATTAGAACTTTACAATGATTAACTTGAAAATCTAATACAATAATTAATTGAAAAATAATCTTTAGATAACCAATGATATGGATCATATTATGAAAAAAGCAGTGGAATTAACCTATTTTCATTATTATTGATTTTCTCTTTTATCCTTTTCCAATTTGATTTCTTTCCATGATTTATTATTTTTTCATTTAATCTTTTATTTAACTTTATTTTCTTGTATTATTTTTATTTTGTTTAATTAAAACTTTGTATAGTTTTTATAAGAATCAATTTTGTGCTCATTGGGAGACAACTTTAAGCTATCATACCAATACCAATATTTTTGGGTTACTATCTTAGCAATATTTTTGGTAACCACCAACTATTTGCACGAACGTAGTCCAATATGTCATTCACCTTGTGCAACCTTGTAGAAAGCTTTGTTAGTGTTACTTACCAAACACATATAGTGCTCACAAAACAAAATAAAACAAAAATCTCATCTTCTAGTTTGAAAGTAGCCCTTTTTGGAATAGATGTCTAGCCCTTTAGCATTCATGTGTCCTAGACCCCTACATCACCATAACACCACTCCTTCCCCTTATTTTCATCACTCCTCCCTTCATATATATTTCATTTGAAACCCTTCATATGTAAGACTTTAATAATTAAGGTTATGCATAAGCTTGTGAACATAAATGACATTGGTCTATGTATGAACTGTCATCATGTATCTTTGTTGATAAAAACAATAAGCATCATTGTCCGTCAACATGTTAGCACGGTTAACTTAAGCATAGTAAATAAGTCTCTTTGGTAACACATTGAAAAAAGCATCCAAAATCCAACACTAACCTATTAGACGCATGTTGTCTTGAAATGATGTTGTACCCTAAAGTAGTTATCAAAAGACTCCACCATTTGAACTATATCTATCACTCAATACTACTTCCCCAATATTAGATAATCCCTCCTCTAATGTCCAACTTACTTACAATATCTACAAAAATATTTAGGAACAACCTTTTCCTTCTTTAACTTCTTGGCCTTTTTATCGTTCTTGATGACCACCAACCCTAAAGACGATGCATCTTTGATAGTCTCAAATGCCTTAAGGAAAGAAATCTATTTATAAAGGTTAAACTTAACCACTTCAAGGATTATGAAATCAGCTTGATTGTCCAAAGAACTCAACAAGTCTCATAGGACAGAGTGAAAGTTTAGAAGAATCATTATTTCATTTTAATCTTTTACCTTACATTATTATATCAGAGTTTCATTAAGGTTGAATTGAACTCATCGAGAAAAGTCTTAAATGTTGTACTTTCCTTCATATGTAACCTAAACAAACTCCTTTACCATAAAAATTGTAGCAAATGAACTTTGTCATGAACAACATTTCCAACGTTGGACACAATGCCATATAATTTTTTTCCTTCACAATCTCATAAAGAGCATAATTTGATAACAATAAAAGAATCATAAAATGAGTTTTTTTCTTTCTTAATCTAGTCCAAAAGTTGCTTCTTTATATGTGACGTGCTTATGGAAAGTGGATCACACTCACTACTCCTTAAGAAGGCCTTTTCGTTTTGATCCTTCATAAATTGAGATTATTCTTTTATTGAACTGCTCGATCTTCAATGAGCACTTTTTCGTAAGAATCCTAACCTTAAACACAAAACAAAATTGAAATCTAACTTTGATAACAATTTGTTATTCAACTATGGTAGAAACAAGTTTAGAGAGCAAAGAAAGGAAGAATGTAATAATGATTACAAATTACACTAACTAAATACGAAGAACAAAGAGCTCATGAAGCAAGATAAGTATGAAAGAAAAATGTTTAGTTTATTCGCTTGAATGAAAAGTTCTTAGTTATAAATTTATGTATACATACTCTTCATTTACTATAAGTACAAGTCTTCTACATATAGGCCTATAAACGATTACATGTTAGCTAGACGTACATAACGACTTCTAACTAGAAAATTGTATACAATCCACTAGATGATGACCACTAAGTCATTTGATTTTCATACTTATAAATGAGTCTAATGAATTCAAAACTATTAAACATTCTACAATAGACACGTCTACATCTTCTAACTAGCTTATGATGTCTATAACCATTAGATGTTAAATCCTAAAAACGGTTTAGCACACCAAAATTTAAAATCTTAAAAAAACATCCAAAAGTCGTGTCTTTAAAACAAAGCAAGTTGAGAGATACATATATCATAAATAATCATTTATAAAGATGATGAAGTATTTTACACCACTGCAGCCATTTCTAGATAACAAATATTTGTACGAGTGATCTTCAATAGGTTTGAAATCTTGTTTACAACAATTTTAGATATCTTATTTTGCTTTCCTTTACTGAAATATACACAAGTTTCAAAATCAACAAAATTCAAAGTATTAAGCATCTTATCATCTACTAATTATTTAATTATCTTAATAATATATTTCAACATCAGCTGCTACAACAATATTATGTACTCCTTATCCTTGACACATTTTTTGACCTAACAGTGGCATGAACATAACTATAAGTGATATTACCTGTGTTATTCAACTTTCATGTATAAAATGATAAGATTAAATATATTTTTTTGTCTCTTAACTTTAAGTGAAAGTTGAAATTAGTTATCTCTAAAACTTTAGACTAATTTAATTCATCATCTTTAAAACTACGTGGATTTAGTCTATTTAACCAAATTTGGTTAAGTTTATTTGATGTTTGAAATGCGTTTCTCAATTAACATTGAAGTAAAAATATGTCAAATAATGTAAACAACTTAAATGTTATTATGAAATGCATTTGAAACGTTAAATAAACCTAACCAATTTAGTTAAAATGACTAATCCCACACATTTCTAAAGTTGAAAGACTAAATTGAATCAAAATTTTAAAAAATGACTAATTTCAATTTTCACTATAAATTAAGAGAGAAAAATATATTTAATCCTAAAATAATATTATAAAAGTAATAGTAAAGAGTTTATGAAATGTAAAATTTATTCATCAAATATATCTTAATATTATCATATTGGTCAAATCCGCAAATTCTAACGAAAATATCTATGCATGGATATTACAAGACAATTAGAACTCTTTCACTTTTCATATAAACATATATTTTCAAACAAATATATACATTGAAAATGTAGTATAAGACTTAAAAAAAAGTGTATAAAAATGTTAAATGTAAGACAACTTACGTCAAGAAAATAGAAGAAACACACATATTATGTAATTGATATTATTCTTAAAGAAACATTAATAAAAAAAATTAAAACCTTCTTGAAAATATTTAATTATATTAAAAATTGATTATTTTTAGTTTATGCAGTAGAATAATACTAATATTTTTAAATGTTGTCATTGACAAAAGGAATTGAAAATTTTCTTTGAATTCAATTTGAGAAAAAATACTTTTTATTTGGAACTTATTAAAATAAACCTAAAGAACTTAAAAAAAACTATGTTTAATATTATAAAATTAAGAAGTTTTTAGATGATCTTTTAAATAATTATTTAAATTCATGAAGTAAGATACTTTCTTCGTATATTTATTACAATTCATTTCAATAAATTTCATAGTAAAGCTTATCAATTTCTAGAATTTATTTCTGCAAGTATTTAATTATGAATCAAAATAAATATTTAAGGCGTAATAGAATTTGATTTAGGAGATTATTTGTTGTCAATAAAAAATATTATTATAATGTAATATTATCAATAAGAAGTGTGACATGCATGGTAGACCTAAGACGTTGCTCAATGTCTTGGTTTTGCTAATGGCTACTTTGTACAGAACATTAAGCAGAAGAAGCTGTTGTCATGCCTCAGCTTCTCTAACCCGTACCTATTACTCGTCACGGCTACACCAATACAACAAATATATATCCAATCTGATTCGAAGTTGTAGATTAAGAGAAGCGAGAGCACTCTTTGATACCATGAAGCACCGAAATGCCGTTACTTGGAATTCCATGATTAGTGGGTACGTGCATCGGAGAGAGATTGTCAAGGCACGCCAATTGTTTGACGAAATGCCCCAAAGGGACATCGTGTCCTGGAATCTCATTGTTTCGGGTTACTTTTCGTGTCGTGGAAGTAGGTTCATCGAGGAAGGACGTAAGCTGTTTGAGCTAATGCCCGAAAGAGATTGTGTCTCTTGGAACACGGTCATCAGTGGGTATGCTAAAAATGGCAGGATGGACCAGGCTTTGAAGCTCTTCAATGCCATGCCGGAGCGTAATGTTGTGTCCTCCAATGCTGTGATCACTGGGTTCTTGCTGAATGGAGATGTGGATTTGGCAGTTGGTTTTTTTAAGACGATGCCTGAGCATGATTCGGCCTCTCTTAGTGCCCTTATTTCAGGGCTTGTTAAAAACGGTGAATTGGACATGGNCTTGTGAACATAAATGACATTGGTCTATGTATGAACTGTCATCATGTATCTTTGTTGATAAAAACAATAAGCATCATTGTCCGTCAACATGTTAGCACGGTTAACTTAAGCATAGTAAATAAGTCTCTTTGGTAACACATTGAAAAAAGCATCCAAAATCCAACACTAACCTATTAGACGCATGTTGTCTTGAAATGATGTTGTACCCTAAAGTAGTTATCAAAAGACTCCACCATTTGAACTATATCTATCACTCAATACTACTTCCCCAATATTAGATAATCCCTCCTCTAATGTCCAACTTACTTACAATATCTACAAAAATATTTAGGAACAACCTTTTCCTTCTTTAACTTCTTGGCCTTTTTATCGTTCTTGATGACCACCAACCCTAAAGACGATGCATCTTTGATAGTCTCAAATGCCTTAAGGAAAGAAATCTATTTATAAAGGTTAAACTTAACCACTTCAAGGATTATGAAATCAGCTTGATTGTCCAAAGAACTCAACAAGTCTCATAGGACAGAGTGAAAGTTTAGAAGAATCATTATTTCATTTTAATCTTTTACCTTACATTATTATATCAGAGTTTCATTAAGGTTGAATTGAACTCATCGAGAAAAGTCTTAAATGTTGTACTTTCCTTCATATGTAACCTAAACAAACTCCTTTACCATAAAAATTGTAGCAAATGAACTTTGTCATGAACAACATTTCCAACGTTGGACACAATGCCATATAATTTTTTTCCTTCACAATCTCATAAAGAGCATAATTTGATAACAATAAAAGAATCATAAAATGAGTTTTTTTCTTTCTTAATCTAGTCCAAAAGTTGCTTCTTTATATGTGACGTGCTTATGGAAAGTGGATCACACTCACTACTCCTTAAGAAGGCCTTTTCGTTTTGATCCTTCATAAATTGAGATTATTCTTTTATTGAACTGCTCGATCTTCAATGAGCACTTTTTCGTAAGAATCCTAACCTTAAACACAAAACAAAATTGAAATCTAAATTTGATAACAATTTGTTATTCAACTATGGTAGAAACAAGTTTAGAGAGCAAAGAAAGGAAGAATGTAATAATGATTACAAATTACACTAACTAAATACGAAGAACAAAGAGCTCATGAAGCAAGATAAGTATGAAAGAAAAATGTTTAGTTTATTCGCTTGAATGAAAAGTTCTTAGTTATAAATTTATGTATACATACTCTTCATTTACTAAAAGTACAAGTCTTCTACATATAGGCCTATAAACGATTACATGTTAGCTAGACGTACATAACGACTTCTAACTAGAAAATTGTATACAATCCACTAGATGATGACCACTAAGTCATTTGATTTTCATACTTATAAATGAGTCTAATGAATTCAAAACTATTAAACATTCTACAATAGACACGTCTACATCTTCTAACTAGCTTATGATGTCTATAACCATTAGATGTTAAATCCTAAAAACGGTTTAGCACACCAAAATTTAAAATCTTAAAAAAACATCCAAAAGTCGTGTCTTTAAAACAAAGCAAGTTGAGAGATACATATATCATAAATAATCATTTATAAAGATGATGAAGTATTTTACACCACTGCAGCCATTTCTAGATAACAAATATTTGTACGAGTGATCTTCAATAGGTTTGAAATCTTGTTTACAACAATTTTAGATATCTTATTTTGCTTTCCTTTACTGAAATATACACAAGTTTCAAAATCAACAAAATTCAAAGTATTAAGCATCTTATCATCTACTAATTATTTAATTATCTTAATAATATATTTCAACATCAGCTGCTACAACAATATTATGTACTCCTTATCCTTGACACATTTTTTGACCTAACAGTGGCATGAACATAACTATAAGTGATATTACCTGTGTTATTCAACTTTCATGTATAAAATGATAAGATTAAATATATTTTTTTGTCTCTTAACTTTAAGTGAAAGTTGAAATTAGTTATCTCTAAAACTTTAGACTAATTTAATTCATCATCTTTAAAACTACGTGGATTTAGTCTATTTAACCAAATTTGGTTAAGTTTATTTGATGTTTGAAATGCGTTTCTCAATTAACATTGAAGTAAAAATATGTCAAATAATGTAAACAACTTAAATGTTATTATGAAATGCATTTGAAACGTTAAATAAACCTAACCAATTTAGTTAAAATGACTAATCCCACACATTTCTAAAGTTGAAAGACTAAATTGAATCAAAATTTTAAAAAATGACTAATTTCAATTTTCACTATAAATTAAGAGAGAAAAATATATTTAATCCTAAAATAATATTATAAAAGTAATAGTAAAGAGTTTATGAAATGTAAAATTTATTCATCAAATATATCTTAATATTATCATATTGGTCAAATCCGCAAATTCTAACGAAAATATCTATGCATGGATATTACAAGACAATTAGAACTCTTTCACTTTTCATATAAACATATATTTTCAAACAAATATATACATTGAAAATGTAGTATAAGACTTAAAAAAAAGTGTATAAAAATGTTAAATGTAAGACAACTTACGTCAAGAAAATAGAAGAAACACACATATTATGTAATTGATATTATTCTTAAAGAAACATTAATAAAAAAAATTAAAACCTTCTTGAAAATATTTAATTATATTAAAAATTGATTATTTTTAGTTTATGCAGTAGAATAATACTAATATTTTTAAATGTTGTCATTGACAAAAGGAATTGAAAATTTTCTTTGAATTCAATTTGAGAAAAAATACTTTTTATTTGGAACTTATTAAAATAAACCTAAAGAACTTAAAAAAAACTATGTTTAATATTATAAAATCAAGAAGTTTTTAGATGATCTTTTAAATAATTATTTAAATTCATGAAGTAAGATACTTTCTTCGTATATTTATTACAATTCATTTCAATAAATTTCATAGTAAAGCTTATCAATTTCTAGAATTTATTTCTGCAAGTATTTAATTATGAATCAAAATAAATATTTAAGGCGTAATAGAATTTGATTTAGGAGATTATTTGTTGTCAATAAAAAATATTATTATAATGTAATATTATCAATAAGAAGTGTGACATGCATGGTAGACCTAAGACGTTGCTCAATGTCTTGGTTTTGCTAATGGCTACTTTGTACAGAACATTAAGCAGAAGAAGCTGTTGTCATGCCTCAGCTTCTCTAACCCGTACCTATTACTCGTCACGGCTACACCAATACAACAAATATATATCCAATCTGATTCGAAGTTGTAGATTAAGAGAAGCGAGAGCACTCTTTGATACCATGAAGCACCGAAATGCCGTTACTTGGAATTCCATGATTAGTGGGTACGTGCATCGGAGAGAGATTGTCAAGGCACGCCAATTGTTTGACGAAATGCCCCAAAGGGACATCGTGTCCTGGAATCTCATTGTTTCGGGTTACTTTTCGTGTCGTGGAAGTAGGTTCATCGAGGAAGGACGTAAGCTGTTTGAGCTAATGCCCGAAAGAGATTGTGTCTCTTGGAACACGGTCATCAGTGGGTATGCTAAAAATGGCAGGATGGACCAGGCTTTGAAGCTCTTCAATGCCATGCCGGAGCGTAATGTTGTGTCCTCCAATGCTGTGATCACTGGGTTCTTGCTGAATGGAGATGTGGATTTGGCAGTTGGTTTTTTTAAGACGATGCCTGAGCATGATTCGGCCTCTCTTAGTGCCCTTATTTCAGGGCTTGTTAAAAACGGTGAATTGGACATGGCTGCTGGGATTTTGCACGAATTTGGTAGTGATGATGATAGTAAGGATAATTTGGTGCATGCTTATAACACCCTGATTGCAGGTTATGGTCAAAGAGGTCATGTGGAAGAAGCTCGGCGCCTTTTTGATGAGATTCCAGATGATCGAGGTGGTGGTGAAAAGGATCAAAGGAGGTTCAGGCGAAATGTGGTCTCATGGAATTCAATGATGATGTCCTATGTGAAAGCGGGAGACATAGTCTCTGCCAGGGAACTCTTTGATAGGATGGTGGAGCGTGATACCTGTTCTTGGAACACTCTGATCAGTGGCTATGTTCAAATCTCGAACATGGATGAAGCTTCAAAGCTTTTCAGGGAAATGCCCTGTCCTGATGTACTTTCATGGAATTCGATAGTTTCTGGGTTTGCGCAGAACGGTAACTTGAATCTTGCAAAATATTTCTTTGAGAAGATGCCCCACAAAAACCTGATCTCATGGAATACGATGATAGCTGGTTATGAGAAAAATGAAGACTATAAGGGTGCTGCTAGGCTATTTTCTCAGATGCAGCTTGAGGGAGAGAAGCCAGATAAACACACATTATCATCAGTTATCAGTGTGTGTACTGGGTTGGTGGATCTTTACCTAGGCAAGCAGATACATCAGCTTGTCACGAAGATTGTTCTTCCTGACTCACCGATAAATAATTCCCTTATTACCATGTACTCGAGATGTGGGGCAATAGTTGATGCATGTACTGTATTTAACGAGAGAAAACTTTATAAAGATGTGATCACTTGGAATGCAATGATTGGAGGCTATGCGTCTCATGGCTTAGCGGCAGAAGCCCTTGAGCTTTTCAAACTGATGAAAAAGCTTAAAATTCACCCTACCTATATAACCTTCATTTCGGTTTTAAATGCATGCGCCCACGCAGGACTAGTTGAAGAAGGGAGGATACAATTCAAATCCATGGTTACGGACTATGGTATTGAGCCACGGATTGAGCACTTTGCCTCCCTTGTGGACATCTTGGGACGGCAGGGGCAGCTTAAGGAAGCTATGGATTTGATTAACACCATGCCATTTAAACCAGATAAGGCTGTGTGGGGTGCATTACTAAGTTCTTGTAGAGTTCATAATAATGTAGAATTGGCCATAGTAGCTGCTGATGCTTTGATCAAACTTGAACCAGAAAGTTCAGCTCCGTATGTATTGTTATATAATATGTATGCTAATTTAAGACAGTGGGAAGATGCTGAGCATGTGAGAGTTTTGATGGAAGAAAAGAATGTCAAGAAGCAAGCAGGATATAGTTGGGTAGACTGATCGACAGAGACAACTTTATTGTCTTAGAAATCTTCAGTCTACAATAGATGTCAGATAATTTTAGTGTTAGTTATTCAACATAACCATACACATGCTGTGCCAGATAGGAAAGATGATATTGACTGATTAAGCAGATTTCAAAGTAGAATAAATTTCCAGACGTTGGTTTGAAATGGAAGAAGCATGTCTTCTGGCAAACATTCAGAGGTAAGAAAGGGGTAGTTATTTGTTATTTTTGGATGAACTTAACTTTGTGAATTAGTGGCGTAGTGGTGTCAACTGCCATAAATCTCAGCTTATTTTCTGTGTTTTTTTTAATAGATCAATTTGCCAATGTCAACATTACGTGATTTCTACTTTGGCTGGCTGGAAGATTAGGTATGTTACAATTTGTTTAGTTGATCCTCAAATAGATATTTTTTTATAATGATGATATGTGTGTAACCTTATTACAAGATGTTGATCCCGTGCTTAACTTCATTTGGAATAACAATTTCATGATTGCATTGCCTTACATGAAAAGAATGTAGATGGAAAACTGTTAGGAGGTTGAAAGTATACGAGAGACGTAAGAAACGTGAATAGGCTAACTGCCTTGGCAGTTAGGAAGAGCGGGAAATAACTTCATATAAATAGTTTAGAATAAACGTTTTATACAGTTTTGGATTAATTGTGAATTCTGACAGGAATTATCATCCTGTGGGGGAGGTTAGGCTCTCTTTGTTTCTGATATTCTGCACTTTGGGTTATTGTTAATAAAAGGAGGAGGTTATTCATCAGTTTATATTGTGTGCTTGGTGTAGTCTGTGTTTGTTTGTGAAGGTTTCTTGAGAAGAAACCTATCANGGAATCTCATTGTTTCGGGTTACTTTTCGTGTCGTGGAAGTAGGTTCATCGAGGAAGGACGTAAGCTGTTTGAGCTAATGCCCGAAAGAGATTGTGTCTCTTGGAACACGGTCATCAGTGGGTATGCTAAAAATGGCAGGATGGACCAGGCTTTGAAGCTCTTCAATGCCATGCCGGAGCGTAATGTTGTGTCCTCCAATGCTGTGATCACTGGGTTCTTGCTGAATGGAGATGTGGATTTGGCAGTTGGTTTTTTTAAGACGATGCCTGAGCATGATTCGGCCTCTCTTAGTGCCCTTATTTCAGGGCTTGTTAAAAACGGTGAATTGGACATGGCTGCTGGGATTTTGCACGAATTTGGTAGTGATGATGATAGTAAGGATAATTTGGTGCATGCTTATAACACCCTGATTGCAGGTTATGGTCAAAGAGGTCATGTGGAAGAAGCTCGGCGCCTTTTTGATGAGATTCCAGATGATCGAGGTGGTGGTGAAAAGGATCAAAGGAGGTTCAGGCGAAATGTGGTCTCATGGAATTCAATGATGATGTCCTATGTGAAAGCGGGAGACATAGTCTCTGCCAGGGAACTCTTTGATAGGATGGTGGAGCGTGATACCTGTTCTTGGAACACTCTGATCAGTGGCTATGTTCAAATCTCGAACATGGATGAAGCTTCAAAGCTTTTCAGGGAAATGCCCTGTCCTGATGTACTTTCATGGAATTCGATAGTTTCTGGGTTTGCGCAGAACGGTAACTTGAATCTTGCAAAATATTTCTTTGAGAAGATGCCCCACAAAAACCTGATCTCATGGAATACGATGATAGCTGGTTATGAGAAAAATGAAGACTATAAGGGTGCTGCTAGGCTATTTTCTCAGATGCAGCTTGAGGGAGAGAAGCCAGATAAACACACATTATCATCAGTTATCAGTGTGTGAACTGGGTTGGTGGATCTTTACCTAGGCAAGCAGATACATCAGCTTGTCACGAAGATTGTTCTTCCTGACTCACCGATAAATAATTCCCTTATTACCATGTACTCGAGATGTGGGGCAATAGTTGATGCATGTACTGTATTTAACGAGAGAAAACTTTATAAAGATGTGATCACTTGGAATGCAATGATTGGAGGCTATGCGTCTCATGGCTTAGCGGCAGAAGCCCTTGAGCTTTTCAAACTGATGAAAAAGCTTAAAATTCACCCTACCTATATAACCTTCATTTCGGTTTTAAATGCATGCGCCCACGCAGGACTAGTTGAAGAAGGGAGGATACAATTCAAATCCATGGTTACGGAATATGGTATTGAGCCACGGATTGAGCACTTTGCCTCCCTTGTGGACATCTTGGGACGGCAGGGGCAGCTTAAGGAAGCTATGGATTTGATTAACACCATGCCATTTAAACCAGATAAGGCTGTGTGGGGTGCATTACTAAGTTCTTGTAGAGTTCATAATAATGTAGAATTGGCCATAGTAGCTGCTGATGCTTTGATCAAACTTGAACCAGAAAGTTCAGCTCCGTATGTATTGTTATATAATATGTATGCTAATTTAAGACAGTGGGAAGATGCTGAGCATGTGAGAGTTTTGATGGAAGAAAAGAATGTCAAGAAGCAAGCAGGATATAGTTGGGTAGACTGATCGACAGAGACAACTTTATTGTCTTAGAAATCTTCAGTCTACAATAGATGTCAGATAATTTTAGTGTTAGTTATTCAACATAACCATACACATACTGTGCCAGATAGGAAAGATGATATTGACTGATTAAGCAGATTTCAAAGTAGAATAAATTTCCAGACGTTGGTTTGAAATGGAAGAAGCATATCTTCTGGCAAACATTCAGAGGTAAGAAAGGGGTAGTTATTTGTTATTTTTGGATGAACTTAACTTTGTGAATTAGTGGCGTAGTGGTGTCAACTGCCATAAATCTCAGCTTATTTTCTGTGTTTTTTTTAATAGATCAATTTGCCAATGTCAACATTACGTGATTTCTACTTTGGCTGGCTGGAAGATTAGGTATGTTACAATTTGTTTAGTTGATCCTCAAATAGATATTTTTTTATAATGATGATATGTGTGTAACCTTATTACAAGATGTTGATCCCGTGCTTAACTTCATTTGGAATAACAATTTCATGATTGCATTGCCTTACATGAAAAGAATGTAGATGGAAAACATAATGCTTTTGAGGACTAATTTATTTTTTCTAAGCATTCAGCACACAATACGAAATTGGATATATAGTATTTATTATTAACGATATTATTTGTTTGTGCGTTAATTGGATCAGTCTTCCATATGCTGAAGGCGTCACTTGTTCCTACCTGTAAAAGAATTCTGTCTGCCATGAAACGTTCTATGTGGCTGTTTGGCACTGGTAAAGTGCGTCGGAAGTTTGAGTTAACAAACCAATATTTTGGAAGTTTAGGTAACTTTGAGGTTGCTGAACCAGTGTATACTTGGAAAGGAGTGGCAGAGTTTATAAAGGAGGTGAAGTAAAAAAAATTCGTCCACCCTCCCTTGTAATCGGTAGAGAATAAACTATAATAAATTTGTATAGAGATTAGACATTCAAATTATATTTACTTTGAATATATATATTTTTTTTTCAAAATTATTAGTTAAAATATGTCAGAGCTACAAAGTATTATGGATGAAATTTGTAATGGGCTGAACTTAGTATCGGACACTCTTCTGAGAATCGTCACATTCTTCAAAGTATGTGTTAACTCCCACATGATTTCGATTTGTCAGAATGATGTTTCTTATGAAATCGTTAGAAAGTGGAGATTTTGAAGAATCAAGTTCAGGATCTCATTAATGGAAGAGATCAAAAATCAAAATTATCAATGGTGACAATTATTTAAAGTTAGGAAGTTATGAGTGACTAGAATTTATTCTATAAATATCAAATTTGTACTTTGTAATAAATGATGAAATTTATAAATACTACTTAAATCCTAGAGGCTCACGGATGAACGTGTTATTACAAAGTTCTCAATCATTTACTTCAGGTATTCTATTTACTTCTTTTATTATTTTCCTGAACTTTCTTTTAGTACTTCTTACCTTTAATTGTGAATGCATATATTTTGCACGATATTTTTTGTACATTATCTCCAATAAATTCGATTTTGAGTAATATCTTTATTTTTTTTTTAAAAGATGTTTATAAACAGTCAATTGATAAAAATTTAACCACACCCATAACAAAAGATTCATGGAAGATATAATGTCTCTAAAAGAAGTTTCTTCAAATTCATATCAGATTATATTTGCTTTACAAAATTCACCATTGTCACAATGATCTCATACAAACTTGTTTGACGCACCCAACTGGCAGATTGTATTTGTGACATACTTTACCACTGGAAAAACTAGTTTTATATTTCTTTTTGTTTAACTTATTCGACCATTCTTTTTGTTTAACTTCCTATTTGTTTCTTTTCATTTTTATCGGCAAAGATAAAGTTAAATTAATATAAAGGGATACTAGTATTACCCCAAGAAAAAAAAAATCACAAACGTGTATTTCCTCTATCATGAACTATTGGTTACCAGACACTCAATTGCATATTGCATATCAATGCATTATAACCGACTCTGCGCCCCCTACTTAGAAGAAAACAAAATACTCATAACACCCTACACATAAAATAACAACAAACATAGTTGCATGTGAGTCTTAGATGAACAACATACTCTTTTAACCATAAAGTATTTATTATTCTTTCATGTGACAGAATACACTCTTTCAAACAAACCTTGAATCATTTGCTAGGTCTCAAAATATATATTGAAAAATTGATATATTGTTATATTCAAAATTGGATATAGTTTTATGTTCAATATATATTTTTCCTATTNTATCTTAATATTATCATATTGGTCAAATCCGCAAATTCTAACGAAAATATCTATGCATGGATATTACAAGACAATTAGAACTCTTTCACTTTTCATATAAACATGATTACATATATTTTCAAACAAATATATACATTGAAAATGTAGTATAAGACTTAAAAAAAAGTGTATAAAAATGTTAAATGTAAGACAACTTACGTCAAGAAAATAGAAGAAACACACATATTATGTAATTGATATTATTCTTAAAGAAACATTAATAAAAAAAATTAAAACCTTCTTGAAAATATTTAATTATATTAAAAAATGATTATTTTTAGTTTATGCAGTAGAATAATACTAATATTTTTAAATGTTGTCATTGACAAAAGGAATTGAAAATTTTCTTTGAATTCAATTTGAGAAAAAATACTTTTTATTTGGAACTTATTAAAATAAACCTAAAGAACTTAAAAAAAACTATGTTTAATATTATAAAATAAAGAAGTTTTTAGATGATCTTTTAAATAATTATTTAAATTCATGAAGTAAGATACTTTCTTCGTATATTTATTACAATTCATTTCAATAAATTTCATAGTAAAGCTTATCAATTTCTAGAATTTATTTCTGCAAGTATTTAATTATGAATCAAAATAAATATTTAAGGCGTAATAGAATTTGATTTAGGAGATTATTTGTTGTCAATAAAAAATATTATTATAATGTAATATTATCAATAAGAAGTGTGACATGCATGGTAGACCTAAGACGTTGCTCAATGTCTTGGTTTTGCTAATGGCTACTTTGTACAGAACATTAAGCAGAAGAAGCTGTTGTCATGCCTCAGCTTCTCTAACCCGTACCTATTACTCGTCACGGCTACACCAATACAACAAATATATATCCAATCTGATTCGAAGTTGTAGATTAAGAGAAGCGAGAGCACTCTTTGATACCATGAAGCACCGAAATGCCGTTACTTGGAATTCCATGATTAGTGGGTACGTGCATCGGAGAGAGATTGTCAAGGCACGCCAATTGTTTGACGAAATGCCCCAAAGGGACATCGTGTCCTGGAATCTCATTGTTTCGGGTTACTTTTCGTGTCGTGGAAGTAGGTTCATCGAGGAAGGACGTAAGCTGTTTGAGCTAATGCCCGAAAGAGATTGTGTCTCTTGGAACACGGTCATCAGTGGGTATGCTAAAAATGGCAGGATGGACCAGGCTTTGAAGCTCTTCAATGCCATGCCGGAGCGTAATGTTGTGTCCTCCAATGCTGTGATCACTGGGTTCTTGCTGAATGGAGATGTGGATTTGGCAGTTGGTTTTTTTAAGACGATGCCTGAGCATGATTCGGCCTCTCTTAGTGCCCTTATTTCAGGGCTTGTTAAAAACGGTGAATTGGACATGGCTGCTGGGATTTTGCACGAATTTGGTAGTGATGATGATAGTAAGGATAATTTGGTGCATGCTTATAACACCCTGATTGCAGGTTATGGTCAAAGAGGTCATGTGGAAGAAGCTCGGCGCCTTTTTGATGAGATTCCAGATGATCGAGGTGGTGGTGAAAAGGATCAAAGGAGGTTCAGGCGAAATGTGGTCTCATGGAATTCAATGATGATGTCCTATGTGAAAGCGGGAGACATAGTCTCTGCCAGGGAACTCTTTGATAGGATGGTGGAGCGTGATACCTGTTCTTGGAACACTCTGATCAGTGGCTATGTTCAAATCTCGAACATGGATGAAGCTTCAAAGCTTTTCAGGGAAATGCCCTGTCCTGATGTACTTTCATGGAATTCGATAGTTTCTGGGTTTGCGCAGAACGGTAACTTGAATCTTGCAAAATATTTCTTTGAGAAGATGCCCCACAAAAACCTGATCTCATGGAATACGATGATAGCTGGTTATGAGAAAAATGAAGACTATAAGGGTGCTGCTAGGCTATTTTCTCAGATGCAGCTTGAGGGAGAGAAGCCAGATAAACACACATTATCATCAGTTATCAGTGTGTGAACTGGGTTGGTGGATCTTTACCTAGGCAAGCAGATACATCAGCTTGTCACGAAGATTGTTCTTCCTGACTCACCGATAAATAATTCCCTTATTACCATGTACTCGAGATGTGGGGCAATAGTTGATGCATGTACTGTATTTAACGAGAGAAAACTTTATAAAGATGTGATCACTTGGAATGCAATGATTGGAGGCTATGCGTCTCATGGCTTAGCGGCAGAAGCCCTTGAGCTTTTCAAACTGATGAAAAAGCTTAAAATTCACCCTACCTATATAACCTTCATTTCGGTTTTAAATGCATGCGCCCACGCAGGACTAGTTGAAGAAGGGAGGATACAATTCAAATCCATGGTTACGGAATATGGTATTGAGCCACGGATTGAGCACTTTGCCTCCCTTGTGGACATCTTGGGACGGCAGGGGCAGCTTAAGGAAGCTATGGATTTGATTAACACCATGCCATTTAAACCAGATAAGGCTGTGTGGGGTGCATTACTAAGTTCTTGTAGAGTTCATAATAATGTAGAATTGGCCATAGTAGCTGCTGATGCTTTGATCAAACTTGAACCAGAAAGTTCAGCTCCGTATGTATTGTTATATAATATGTATGCTAATTTAAGACAGTGGGAAGATGCTGAGCATGTGAGAGTTTTGATGGAAGAAAAGAATGTCAAGAAGCAAGCAGGATATAGTTGGGTAGACTGATCGACAGAGACAACTTTATTGTCTTAGAAATCTTCAGTCTACAATAGATGTCAGATAATTTTAGTGTTAGTTATTCAACATAACCATACACATGCTGTGCCAGATAGGAAAGATGATATTGACTGATTAAGCAGATTTCAAAGTAGAATAAATTTCCAGACGNAACCAAAACATCTCACAGAACGAAAATTAAACATAAATGGCGCACCATGCTTCTCAAAAAACTTTTCACTACGATGAAGACAAAGCATATATGATTGTGCTATAGGAAACTACCAAGAAATAAGCAATCCACTAGCTGTATAATCAAGAAAGCAGTATGAGGCTCGTAATCCTTCATCGTTTATAGACAATGAACAACAAAAGCAGATTGACTTTGCTTGTGTCTGAGGGTTTTCCTTTGCACACTAAAGAATAATTTGGTAAAATGAAATGTGAATACATTCACCTGTGAACTACTGAGCTGAGGTAGAACTAGAACCAACATTGCCCAAACCCATCTTCTGCCCCAATAATGTAAGCTGCTCTACAAAGTCGACTCCAGTTAGAATTTCTGTTGTTCCATATATAATATGCTTGGCAGGCTGCTGATGTTGTGCAAGCTCTTGCAGACTGCAATATTCAACGTAATTACCACCACCAATCATGAACACAATTGCTTCCTTAAATGGTCCTTTCAAATGGCTGCTACTTGCTCCTGAACCAGATTTAGAGGCCCGGGGATCAAAGGAAAGGTATGAATCTGTTTCAGGATTTGGCCTACCTTCAGTCAAGGCATCAACTGTCCTTGCCAATGCTAGCTGCCTATCGTTAGATAGAAGGTTTTTTACACCAGCAGTCACTGCACTAATTGATTGCCCATAGAGCTTCTCAGCCCAATCAACAATATTACTTCTGCTGGCAGAATTCGCTGATGCCAATGAAACATTCAACGACTTGATCTTCTTCACGTACTGAAAAGCGGCAGTATCAACCTCAGACTCTCTCAGAGCTGCTTCTACAGCCTCTACTTCAGACTGATTAATGCTTTCAGAAGAAATAAGATATATGATGGCAAACCTAAGCTTATCCATTTTTGTTCCCTTCCCCTTGAGCACACTAAGCAGGTCACCCCTTTCAATGCCACCTCTAACCAACATGTCATTCTCCTTCTTAGCATAAGAATCAAGGGACCTCTCCTTGATCTCCCCCAACAACACGGTCGCAATGTTTGTATGTTTATCAATCACCTGCTTTCTCTCAGTCAACTCAGGCAGAGAATTCACAGCATTCATCAAATGCTTCGTGTTCCCAATC